TTTGTATATAGATCTTGTATATCTCTCCCTTTCTTTTTTTTTCTCTCTCTCTATATATACATATATATATATATATATATATATCAAAAAAGTATTCGATTTGTCTATTTGACAGAAAAAACAGTAGTTGAAAGAAAAGGAGACTTTCACACTTCTTTCAACGTTCTTGTAGTTAGGTGTAGTGATGTTTTATTTCTGTGATTTTCTTTGTTATACCTCATTAGGTCTCTCAAAGTAGACATACACTGTTTTTTGTCTTATTTCATTCAAGAGATAATGTAAATAGATAAATGCCGTGTATTTTGGTTGCTTGAGTTCTTTTCTTTACTTTTTTTTAATGTTGTCGTTGTTTGTTCATAAGCAACTGTGTTGTTGGTTTGTTTTGTTTTTTTGTCTCAAAAGTTTTTTTTGTACACTTGTATAAAGATACCTTTCTTTCTCTCTGTATATACCGATGTACGTGAGTGTGACGATGCTGTTTATTTATTGTATGAGTAAGAAAAAAAAGTTACGAAAGATTCAATCATGCAAGGGAAAGTCATTGTGCAGGCATTATGTCCGACTTGTCATCGCTTATAAAACGCAATTCTCTGTCAGATTATGGTGAACATCCCTTTGAAATAAGCTTATCTTAAGATTTCTGTCGAATCATTGTGGCATGAGCTATGGAAAGTAGTTTCGATATGTAGAAAGAATGACTATTGTATTATACTTAGTGATTTGATCTTAGTTTTAATTTAACTCTTTTGTCAGCTATCCACTCAATTGAGAATCATTCTAGTTTTAAGATGCTTTTCTCATTAGACAGTTCTGTGCAAGATATATAAGTGCAGCAATAAACCAACCCCGCAAACGTATTTTCATACTGTATTGACTGGTAACCTTTGTTGATAACCATCGTCTGCCCTCATCGATAATAATGAAAATAATTTTCTTTTGTTGCGATGGTTTGCCAAAATGCTGCTGGGGTTTCTAATTTTCTCATCCTTTCCACTTCACTCAACATTTGACTTGACTGCGAATAAAATGATTGCCGGTGTGTAAAAAAGTAAAATATATTTAGTATGATCATTTCTAGTTGTCCAGTTTTCTTTCCATTTTGTATCTCATTTTCAGTTATTTCATTTTATCGTTGGTGTGTGAGCATTTGTCACTTCATTGTTCATTGTGTATGTGTGTATATATATAAAATGACTTTTTTTAATGCTATTTTTCTCAGAGTTCTTGGATTTTCTGCTTTTTTTTTCATTTGTCAGAATAGTAGGCGAGAATAAACAGTATATATTAAAAATAAAAACAAAATTCCCAGCAAAAACACATAATGTCTGTCGACACAATATAATCTGAAATGCAGCTGGATAGCGCATGAAAAGTTATGAATAGTTCAAGAGAAAAGAGGAGAAAATTTTGCTTGGATTGACCGTAAAATAAACGAAAAGAACTAGTCAGTAACGCACTGGTGCCAAAAAAAGGGTTTTCGAAGAGAGCTTTTTTCTAGACAGATACTATGCGTAAAGATTCTATATAGCTCATCACAAAATCCGTGCAGAATCAGCTTGATATCGGCATATTCATTCGCTCTCCCCCAGTTCTTTAATCAACTACAAGAATTCTCTGGATTACTTTCATGGGTCTATTCACGCATTTAGATCAAATATAAAACTTATTCTTTCATATCCCGAAGCTTGCATTTGCCTTAACAAAACATTATCATCAAGTCGACAGATGTGCATGTGATGGAATATCGTAGTCTGACCATTTATCTTTGACGAGTGCTCTCTATTGCTTTTTTCCTATGTTTGTTAAAACTTTTATTTTTATTTTTAGAATTGTTACCACAATAACCAAATGTTTTCAATATCTTCAATAACCAAATGGATTTGTAATTTATGTGTCTACTCTGTACCGAGAAAGAGTATTATCACTGTTCCGCCACATCTTAAGAACTTCGTTTAGCTAATGCCTTTAAAGGTTGAAAAATGAAAATCAAGAAATCATAAAGATATAAATATTAGCTTGAGAAATACATTTACACCACTGAGCTAGCAAAAGCATTACAGATGAACAAAAAGTCACGCATAGGACCAGAAAATTTTAAAAAGTGGCCGGGTCAGATAAATTCCACGTTTGGTTGGGCCGAGCTAGGCATAATCTGGAAACTCTCATTATCGGGCCGGGTGAGAAATGGTCGGCCCGTGCCGATCTCTGATTTATACACAACAACAACAACGACAACAATCACAAACATCGTTTCATATTAGAAAAAAATTCGATAAAATATGGAAAAAACATAGTTTTAATAAAGATAATGATGATGAAGTAAAATCACTTGAAAATAAAGTTTGTGATTTAATTGATCAAATCGTTAGTGGTATTTTAAACGAAACACAACAGAAAGTACAATCATGTATATCAGAAATTATTAAACTAGATTTACAACATTTACTTGATAAATTAGGTAAAAGTTTCAGAGTATGCAAGCTACAATTAAAGAACACCAAGCTGAAATGAGGAGACGAGAACTGGTGCATTCAACGTGGTATGGCCGTAAGCACCGAGCTGGAACGAATTCATTAAAATCAACAGTACAAGGTTTAGAAGCAGCAAAGTTAGAACAAGGGACAATAATCAAATCGTATGAAATATCTTATTTATATAGTCATTATAAACTTGAACCAATAATAAGAGAAAATTTTCATACAGACTGGTATAAGGTACTTAATGAAATAAAAAAATTTCCTTATGATATTAGAACGGGTAAGTAAGACGCAGATGCTTTTAAATGTGTGGAGAATTCTTCAACACTTATCATTTTCTCAAATTTACAAATAAATTGATGATTTGTTCGAAAAACTGCCAAGAATTCGTGTACCCATTTTGAGAAAGCCAATAGACTTCTCATTTAGAACATTTATCTGCTCTTGTTCAGAATTGCTCCAAAACTAAACAAAACACAAAAATCACAAAAACAAAATACATATGGAAGGACAACATCCAGTCATGGGACACCTTCAATCATTGTATACCTCTGCCTGTAATAGAAGACCAACCCTTAATAGCGGATCATCCCCTATTAGAAGGCCAGCTTAAGGTTTGCGAGTTGCAAGCCGGTATAGAAGACCATAGTCCTTTATTTCTGCTGTATTTTTGAAAGGAACTAAAGGTATATTTCAAGTCGAGAGAAAGAACTTTTTTCGCGCTGAAAAGACGTCCTGTTTCGATTGTATATTTAGTCGCAAACTTTATTGAAAACATGCATGTTTTTCGTTCTATCATGCACATGTATTTGAAACGAGTATAACGAATGTGAGCGATTATTTGTTAAATAAGTTCAAGCTCGAAAGTACAATACTCGAACTCGAACTGTTCGAAGCCGAACCTCGAACCTGCTTTCGAGTTCGACACATTCCTAACCATCTTGCGCCTCGGTCTTGGCTATTAAATGGCGAAAACTAAATGTCTGTATTTCCTTTCTTTTAACATTGTGTATCTTTTATTCTAAAATAAATAGTAGAGATTGGTGAGCTCGATCATAAGAAAATTAACGGTGCTGCATGTAAAGACAAAACAAAAATGTTGTTTCAAGATTCTGAATTGATATTCTTATTTCCAGCTATCTCACTGCCATTTATTCTACTTCGTAGACATAGAACAAAAAAAAGCTAACAAATAAGGTGATGATATTCCTACCATTACTGTATTAACCAATTGTTTTAGAGAGAGATGATATAAGCAAACAATATGGTTGCCATTTATACAAGAAATGCATCTATAATAAATGTCTGAACGTTGTACAGCTGGCATTTGAGGAAAACAATTTAAATAGCTCAAAAAAACACTATTTTTTTTTACACTGAACGTAAGTTGAGAAAAGACAACTTCAACTCTTTCTGATGCAAAATTAAAATAATGATGTGTTTTCATTCATAAAAAAATATGATTTTTCACATTTTTCTACATTTTCAAATACTCACAGCTAAAACACATAATTTATTCAATATTTGTACTTTTTAATTTTATTCTCCACGTGCGTACTTTTCTTGGGGGGTGAGGCAGAGGAGATTAACAGGTCAAAAAGCTAAAATACGAGATGAAACTAAATTTAACCAAATGTTGAATTACAAGAAAATATCTGATAAACAAAATTATTTTGAACAATTTGATTTATAATGAAGCAAGGGAATGAGTTTAAAGAAGCTGACAATT